GACATATGCATGTGTAAATGCCTATGTATGATTAATAAATGATATAATATAGTAATTATTAAAAAGATATTAATAACTCATTAATTCCAAACATTCATTTAACAACTTATTTTTAGATTTTTAAATTATTATTTATTTATTTTATTTCATTTTCTCCATTAATAAAAAAATTTAGATTTATTTATAAAATATTTAAAAATTGGATGTTGAAAAATATTTTCTCATGTTAATGAATGAGTATGAGTAGTCTTTATATTGAATTAAACATTTAATATAAGATATTTTAACTTTATTCATCACTTAAATAAGATAAATGAAAATGACAAATAATAAAAATTGAAAAAGGTTGAATTATTTAATATAGAATATTAATTCACTTATAATAGGTAAGTTCTTAAAATTTACCATATCTCAAGTACTCTTCTATTGAAAAAACATAGTTTGATAAACATAGATCTTTAAATCTAAAGTTTAAATGCATGGCTTCAAAAAATCCTAAAATGTATATATTAATAAAATAATAAATCTCTATGGAGATGTTATATAACATCTCATGTTGACATGTCTATATTAATAAAATAGTAAATCTTTATGGAGATGTTATGTGTATAAACATCTCATGTGATATTGTAAACATGAGAAGTTCTTTTATAATGATTCAAATTAAATTATTAACTTAGCATATTTTTATGGTGTTATTTAGTTATAATAATTATATTGTTTTTATTAGAGTAGATTAGGTGATAGAGCTTAATAAGATTAAACTTAAAGCTGGAGTTTGAATGATTTATTTTATAATTGAACATTTTCTTAGTTTATATAGTGTTTATACATATAACAGTTTAGAAGATATTTTATTTGGAAAGATATTTTATAAATATGTATTTATATTAGATAAGGAAGATTATATTTAAATTTAAGATACATAATTATTTTGGTTATTACACTTTATATTTAAATATTTAATAAAATTTATATTTTTAGAAAAATGAGTTGATGACTTGACGGACACAAAGCATACTACTACTAAGGAAATAAATAGATAAATAAATAAATAAAAGATTTAATTAAAAGGTAAATGAAGAGAAAAATTTAGAAAAAATAAATAAAAAGTAAAAGTCTTTCACTTTTTAATTCTTCTTTTTCTTTATCTTTCTCATAAAAATGCCAAAATCCATTCTTCCCCCTTCTTTCCTCCAAGCAATGGACTGTGATTAAAACTGTGGTTGCCCACTGATTTGAAAAAGAAAAAAAAAAAAAAAGAAATATATATATATATATATATATATATATATATATATATATATATATATCCTTCCACTTTTTTAATCACCCTTTCATTATTAAAATAACTTTTTATTAGACAATGCTTTAAGTACATAAGGTGTGTGTAATTCAATATTGTACTCTTTTTTTTTTTTTTCTATTCTACCTTAAAAAACATTAGATGACTAAAACCAAAATGTTAGGCAACGCGCTTTGTTTTTCTTATGTTTACGAGTCTTCTTCTTTCAAATATTGTATTGTATTATTTTTCTATAATAACTATAGTAAGATTTAAAATATAGATTATACCATTTTTTTTGTTTTGTTCATTTCAATATTTTACTGTCATTATTGAATTTTTATATTTATTTCAATATTTTTAAATTAATATTTTTGAAAAATGAGTCAAGGGTTCAAACCCAATGATAATGGGTATGGGATCTAATTTCTAGCCCTAATAAAGTAGTCGTAGCCTCGCACCATGTCTATATCCACCTTAAGATTTTAATAAAATAAAAATAATTTTTTTTTCTAATTTTTAAAAGATACAAACTTCTCTTTCGTCTTTGATAAAATTGTATTCATCTCTCTTATCTTTAAAGTGGGAGCACATCTAATTTGTATTCATGTATCCGCAATTTTTATATCACATTATCTTATTTAAATTGAATTAAAATTCTGTATTTTTTTTATCATATTATTTCAATGAGTTAAAATTTAATTTGTATATTCATATTAATTATATATTTATGAATAAAATATATGTAATATTATTTTTTATTTTATATGATTTTATTATTACATATTGTTAATAAGTTAATTAAATACTAGTTTATTTTGTAATATATTTTAATTATGTAGAAACGAACTTTTAGAATAAAATATTCATTATATATCATTAAAATGTTTAATTAAATGATGCCATGTGAATAAGAAAGTTCAAAACGATTTTATTTTGAGAACTTATACCAAAATTATTTTTATTTTAAACATTTTGTGATTATTAATTTATATTTTATTAAATAATTAAATTATTTTTATTTGAAGAAGGTTATAATAATAAATGAGAAGATGAAAAAAATATAAACTATTTTAAAAATAAATCTTCTTTATAGTATAGATGATAAAATAGCATTCACTACCCTTATTTTATTTAAAATTAATATATTAAAGAAAACTTAAATAAAAAGTAAAAAAAATATTGTTAATTTTTATATATTTAAAATTAAATTTTTATAGTTTTAATTAATTTTTTAGTCAAAAAATTTATTTTTTCTAATATAAAAAAGGGTAATTTTCTCTTATTAAATATAGGGTTTTTTAATACGTAACACGATTCAGTTTGAGATAACTCTACAAGTATAATAATAAAACAATTTAATGATCTAGTCGTATATTTTTAAATGAATTATAATATTTTTTTTCTAATCTTCTCTTATCTTAGGTCAATATACTATAATAATTATCATGTTTCAAAATTAAAATATTATTAATTTATTATATTAAAATAATTAATTACAAAATATTTAAATAAAAAAATATTTTTATATATAAATTATATTAATAAAATTCATTTTTATTTTTAATATAATAGTTTAATATAAATGATATGAGAAGAGGTTAATATAAATTCAGTCTTAAAAGACAAGTTAAAAATTTATCTTTTAATATCATTATTTATTTTTTAATAACTTATTTATTCAAAATAATTATTCATCTTAATTATTATATTTATTTTTAAATAAATAAATCTCTTATTAAATTTTATTTAAAAAAATCATTATTATTTTATAAGACAGTTTTATCCATAAACCTATATATTAGCATGTCCTTCTACAAGTTATAATCTAAATGAGTTTGATTTAATTTATATTATAATTTTTTGATCCTAATTTATTTCTTAAATTTTTTCATGGAGGGTTAAACCTAATTTTACCCTTTAATTAAATCTAAGGATGAAAACAAAACTAAGTTAAATAATAAAAGTATAGTAGGAGAATGAGTTGGTTAATTTTTATTTGAGTAAAAAACAGAATAAATTATTTTAGTAGATTAAAATAAGTGTTCTGGAAGACGCCCCAAAGCAAGCAAGTGGTGGAGAGAGGTACATGCAAAAATCAAAGTCAAAATAGACGACTGGGAAATTGCGGAAAAGGATAGTGCAGTTGGTATCGTGGTTGGTGCAAGTTATAATAACATTATTGTGGATCATTTCCTACTACTTCTCTCTGCAAAACGTCAAAACAGCCATGGGAGTTTCTCTGTAGTGGGTCATGCAGTTGATTTTCAAGGAATCTGAAAACGATGCTTCTGTCAAATCTCCATTCTCAGTACTGCAAAAACAAAGAGTAGGTTCTTTTCAAGGAATGTTGGACACTACTTCCTTCCTCATACAAGACCTCCTCATCACCCGCACCACACACTCATTAATGACGTAATTCGTTGTTAAATGATTGCCTTTAAATATGTTTTTTGTTGTTATAAATATGGTTTTGTTATGTTCATATATAATTAAATTAAGTAATATATTTTATATTTCATTTTTAAACAATTAACTAATTTTAATTTATAAATAATTCTTATTAATATCATAGTTTGTAAAAGAAAAATAAATATAATTAACATCGATCACACTCTAACCACACATGTAAGAGGGAAAAAGAAATCATGCAAGTTGGTTGAGACTCTAAAAAATATTTTTGCCTCACTAATTTTTGAAGCATAGAAAATATTTTGGTGGAAGTTTGAAAATTTTATGTTGCAATTGCCCTAGAAATTTCTGCTGTGTGCATATTGACGGTTGAGTAGTATAGCCATCTTCTATCCCACTTTGCATTCACATTGGGAATTTATGACTTCTCTTCATGCTAATTGATTTCAAATGTTAAGCATTTTAAATATTTAAATATAATTAAACTGAAACCTTTTTTCATTAAGGACTGCAATGAACCTTATAATATATTTTTTTCCTCTAAATTATATATTTGATAAAACATAACCTTGTTGAAATAATTTATGTTATTTTATAAATGTCATATATTATTTTCTAGATCTTAAATTCTATAATGATTATAATTAAGATAACATAATCACAGAAGATAACAATTCTAATGAGTATTAAGTTTTAATATGTTGATTAGAAATAAAAATTAAAAATATTTTGTTTAATGTTTTCGAAGATAATTTGACATCAATTTATTTTAAATAAAAACTAAATCATTTGGAACGTAAAGTTTATTGATTAATGCTTCCTAACATATGTTTTCTAAATTAACTGATTAGCATACAATAATTTTAAAGTAAAATTATTTTTGGTGTTTAAACGTTTCATTTCAAATTACTTAAAAAAAATCAAAATGATTAGGAGAGATGTAAATAGATATAAAAAAAAAATATGAATATCTCGGTAGACTCTTCATGATTTACGGTGAAATAAAAAAACAAGTTTTATAAGCTGCACAATCAACGACAACGATGTATCTAGTGTAAAGACAACGACTTGAGTAATATAAAGAAGAGAAAATGATGAACTAGTTTAGCGTGAGTAATACGCTTCAATGACAATAGTTCTCGACTAATTCAACAAGAGAAAAACTACGATATTTCTTGACTTGGGTTCTAGTATCAGTGACGTTAATTCTGCTTATAAGTATTTGCAAAATCCCGTTTCTGCATGCAAGTATTTCTCCTGCATTTGATTGTATCAGATAATCGGTGTGATTGAAAATTTCCCCATGGTGATCATATTCCGAACGCTTGTGTCCATGAAGTTCCAACCTCTTTGGCTGCTTCTTCTGATGATCTTCTGTGCATTTCCCCGTCATGATGCTGCTAATTCTTCTGATGTTGCTTCTGAAGCAAATGCTTTGTTGAAGTGGAAAGCCAGCCTTGATAACAACAGTCAAGCTTCTCTCTCTTCATGGAATGGCAATAATCCTTGCAACTGGCTGGGAATAGCATGTGATGAGTCCAATTCGGTTTCTAACATAAATCTTACACGTGTTGGATTAAGAGGTACACTTCAAAGTTTTAACTTTTCATTACTTCCAAACATTCTCATTCTGAATATGAGTTACAATTCCTTGTCTGGAAGCATTCCTTCACAAATTGAAGAGTTGTCTAATCTCAACACGCTTGATTTATCCACTAATAAACTCTTTGGTAGCATTCCAAATACCATTTCTAATCTGACCAAACTAAAATATCTGAATCTCAGTGTCAATGGTCTCTCTGGTCCTATTCCTACTGATGTGGGTAAGCTCCAGTCTCTTCTTACATTTGATATATTTACCAATAACCTCTCTGGACCAATCCCACCTTCCTTAGGTACCTTGCCTCTTTTGGAATCCATTCATCTCTTTGAAAATAAACTCTCTGGACCCATTCCTGCCTCTCTTGGAAATTTGTCCAGGCTTACTATGTTATCTTTATCATCAAATCAACTCACCGGATCCATTCCTCCCCATATTGGAAATTTATCAAACGCCAAGGTCATATGTTTTATTGGAAATGAACTTAGTGGTGAGATTCCAATAGAAATAGAGAAGCTTACTGGTCTGGAATGTTTGCAACTAGCTGATAATAATTTCATTGGCCAAATACCCCAGAACATTTGCCTCGGTGGAAACATGAAATACTTCACCGCTGGTAATAACAATTTCACGGGCCCAATTCCAGAGAGTTTGAAGAATTGCTACAGCCTCAAGAGACTCAGGCTTCAGCAAAACCTTCTAACTGGGGATATAACAAACTTTTTCGATGTACTTCCAAACTTGAACTACATCGATCTGAGTGAAAATAATTTTCACGGTAATCTTTCACCTAGATGGGGAAAGTTCCGTAGCCTCACAAGCCTCATGATTGCCAACAATAAATTGTCAGGTGTTATTCCACCAGAACTAGGTGGGGCAGCTAAGTTACAGGTGCTTGATCTGTCCTCAAACCATCTTACAGGAAGCATCCCACAAGATTTATGCAACTTGACCCTCTTGTTTGATCTTTCACTTAGCAACAACAATCTTTCAGGAAATGTTCCCATGGAAATAGAATCACTGCACGAACTTAAATTTTTGGAGCTTGGGTCAAATTATTTGACGGGCTTAATCCAAAAAGAACTTGGAAATTTGCACAATTTATTGAGCATGAATCTGAGGCAGAATAAATTTGAGGGAAGTATTCCTTTCGAGCTCGGAAATTTGCAATATCTCTCAAGTCTTGATCTCAGTGGAAATATGTTGAGTGGAACATTACCACCAACGCTTGGTGGAATAAAAGGCTTAGAAACATTGAATCTATCGCACAATAGTCTTTCAGGTGGTCTCTCTAGCTTAGATGATATGATAAGCTTGACATCTATTGATATATCATACAACCAGTTTGAGGGGCCAGTTCCTGACAATCAAGTCTTCCACAATGTTAAAATTGAAGCATTGAGAAATAATAAAGGCTTGTGTGGCAATGTCACTGGCTTGGAGCCTTGCCCAAGTGAAAATCCTAATGATCATAATCATACGACAAGGAAAGTCCTGATAACAGTTTTACCCCTTACTTTGGCCATTCTAATGGTTGCACTATTTGTTTTGGGAGTCTCCTATCATTCACGCCGAACTTCAAGAAAAGAAACTGACCAGGTTACAAGTTTACGATCTGCCAGCATATTTCCAATATGGAGTTTTGGAGGCAAAGTTATGTTTGAGAATATTGTTGAGGCCACCGAATATTTTGATGACAAATATCTCATTGGTGTTGGAGGGCAAGGAGCTGTTTACAAAGCAATATTAGCTACAGGTCAAGTTGTTGCTGTCAAGAAGCTCCATTCAGTTTCAAATGAAGAAATGATCAACCACAAGGCTTTCACCAGTGAGATCCAAGCTTTGACAGAAATTAAACATCGTAACATTGTAAAGTTGTATGGGTTTTGTTCGCACTCACAATACTCATTTTTGGTGTGTGAATTCCTGGAAAGGGGCGATCTGAAAAAGATTTTGAAGGATGACGATCAGGCAGCTGCTTTTGATTGGAATAAAAGGGTGCATGTTGTTAAAGATGTAGCAAATGCTTTATGCTACATGCACCACGATTGCACACCTCCAATTGTTCATCGTGATATATCAAGCAAAAATGTTCTTCTGGATTCAGAATATGTAGCTCATGTCTCAGACTTCGGAACAGCTAAACTTCTTGATTATAATTCATCCAATTGGACATCATTTGCAGGAACCTTTGGATATGCTGCTCCAGGTTAGTTTCCTTTCTTTATTAAGTATACCATGATAATTTACCTTGTCTTACTTAGTCATTTACAAATATATATATATATATATATATACACAATTATCTTCATTTTGCATATATGGTGACACTTCTAATTTGTTTCAGAACTTGCATACACAATGGAAGTAAACGAGAAATGTGATGTGTATAGTTTCGGGGTGTTGGCATTGGAAATATTATTTGGAAGGCACCCGGGTGATGTTGCATCTTTATCAATTGGGATCACCTCAACATTTGATCAAATGGCATTGATGGATAAGCTGGATGAACGTCTCCCTGATCCAACTAGTTCTACTGTCAAAGAGCTGGTTTCCATTGTGAAGATAGCAATTGCTTGCTTGACTGAAAGTCCACGATCTCGCCCAACCATGGAGCTTGTCGTCAAGGAGCTTGCAATGTCGAGGTCGTCTTCAATGTCAAGCACAGAGCTGAAAGACTTAATACGCTAAATATACATGCATCAGCTCTACCTGTTATCTTACTTCTGTATTGTATTTTCTTGTTACAAACAGTGTGTCTCACTTGTTTTATATTTAGTGTTATTACAGATAAAGCTTGTAATATTGAAGTTACTGAATACTTTGTCTTTGTATTATATTAATAGAAAATAAAAATAAAATAAAACTTATAAGCTTTATTTATTTTCCTCCACTATTCTTTTATTAGCAAAGCAATTTTTTTATTTATTTACAGGTGTCATGTGTTAGTTATTACAAAATATGGATCTGGTCCCTTTATGGTGAGAAGATTACGTAATTTTTATTATTTTCTGTTAAGTAGCAGCCAACGACTTAATTTGATATTGACTTAATAAATAAATAAGAGCTATGATATTTAAACATTCATAAATTCTCAAATATATATTCTACAACTATTATTTAATAATATAATAATAAACATAAAAATATAAATATAAATTAATATTATATTAATATACGGAGTCGTTGGATGATGTATTTAGAAGAGAAGTTCTTAAAATATCATTTTCCAATGGATAGATAAATGACATGCTCAAGTTGATTCTTGATCCGCAGCCATTAATTATAATCAACATTTAATTCATCTAAGTTAACCCGTTAATCAAATCTATCGAATCATAAGGAGATCATTAACAACCCTTAAATATTTTAAAAATTTTCTTTAGTCAATGTTACCAATCAAAATATATATAAAAAACTTTCAAAGTATTTATTAAATTAATTTTTTTAACTAATTTATTCAGGACGATGAGTTGAAAATCTTAAGAAATTATACTTTACAATATTTGAAGTTGAAAGAAGTTAATTAAATCCAATAACTAGGTTAGTAATTTTCTTTTACTCAACCTGGGTTGTAATTGTTACAAACTCTGTATAGGTTGATTGTAATTTTAAAAGTTATCACATATTTAAGTAAGTAGAATCACCCTAAATCAATTTCTTAAATCTTCAAATTAAAAACCTATTTCATTTAGTTTTGATTAGATTGGTTAGTTAAAACTAAATTAAATCATTAAGGTAATTAAAAAATAAATTTAATTAATTAACAGAAGACCGATCAAAGTAAACTGGCTAATTAAAATAAAAACCCAAACAAAATTGCTACAAAACAAATTTTTAAAAGCAAAAACCCTATAATTAAAACTGCACAGTTTGATATGAACAAGATAAACCAAACCAAAAAGTTTTAATTCATTGTTTCCACAAGTTGGAACAAAAAATTATTATCCACACGTGAGAAAATTTGGGGAACATGTATGAACATGATCAATCCAACCAACTAAGATTGAGATAAGATGTAAAAATAATTTTTGAGACAGACTTTCTTATTTAAATCAGAAAATTATAAGGCATTATAATACTTTTTTTTTTTTTTTACATTATATAAAACTAATAACAAATATTTTTTCATGGATCCAAAAGTTTGAATTTAATTAATTCGAGCCTCGATCGGGTCCCATGCACATGGGAAAAGTGAAGGCTTCTTATTTATAATGCATGTAATTAGTTAGAAAAAAAAAAGAGTACAAACAAAGCAATTAATAATAAATTATGCACAGCTGACATGAAAAGTGGTGCATTATCAGTTGAAGTTTAATTAAACAAACCTAAAAACTAATTAAAATTTAAGTTAATCAATTTCTAGACTTCACTTTCAAGGTGGCAAAATGATAAAATACACGAGGATAGGTTTGTTTAGCCATAGTCTAAATCATAAAATTAAAGCCATGTAAAATTATAATTTTATAATAATGCGTATAAATTTAAAAATTATAATATTGCACAAGAAAGATATAGGAAAGAAACTTACTTGAATGGTAATTGTCATATTAAGATGATTCTTGCAACCAATTGTTTGATACGTTATGATACGATGTCGCATGGAGAAACGTGTTAAGTTTGAAAATTAATGTTTATTTTATATTTATTTGATACAATAATAAGAATAGGAATGTTTTAAGTTTTTTTTTTTAATTATTGGAAATTTACGTGTCAGATTATATAATAACAATTTATGTAAAATTTCAGTTAGTTAGTTCTTTTAACTTTAATTTATATTCCTACCGATCAGAGTGTAGTTAAACATAAAAGATCTTAATAAATATTTATAATATTAATGTAATATAAATTATATATTAAAATATAATACATTTTATAATTTAATTATAAATAATTTAAAATTATATTATATAGTTTTAATTATAGATAAAATTATATATACATTTTGTAGCAACCAAAAATAACAAATTAAAATTTCAATCACAGAAATGTTTGTTTTTTAATAAAATTTATTAAATTTATGTATAATCATTAAGTTAAAATTAGAGATAGTATATTGAAAATACCTACCAACTGTCCTACTAGTTTTGTATGTAGGTGTTTATGTTTCTTTTGTATCATATTTTTCATTATAAATAAAAGATGGTTAAAAGGAATGATTAAGTACTTCAAATTATATTTACCTATTTTTTAACCGTTAAGTCTTATAAAAGCAAAACTAGTATTAGTTCAATATTAAAATATATCTATTCTTAGAATATAAAAAAAGTGATAGTTCTTGGTAATGCTACAACCAGTTGGTTCCCAGTGGACATGGAAAAATTAAAGTCAGGGTAGATGGTCATGTTGAAGAGGATAATGGATTAGGTTAAAATGTTGAAGATGATGCTTCATGGTAGCAGCACTAGCTGCTGCACTTACACTTACATTATTATGATTCCATATTTGGGTTGAAAAGGTCAAAAATTTGGCTCTCGGGTGGGGCATGCACTTAGCAGAGGACTTGTTTTTATTTGAATTTGAATATGAAAACGATAACTTGGTATTATATTTCATACATGCACTCTTCATTTTATTAAGAGGAGTGACAATAAAGTAACACGCTCTTCAGATTCGTCTTATCACCTTAATCAATAATAAATAAATAAAACTTTATCTCCATAAACAAGAATTTATGTGTTCAAAATTATTTTAATTTGAAATGTAAAAATATAAGTTGTGAAATTACATTTCGGCATTGTCAGCAAACAAGAATTGATTAAAATGTTTATTTTGTTGGGACTAATCACTTATTATCATTCTTTTTATTTCGCTGTTTAAGAAAACAAATATTGTGAGTTTTTATATTAAAAAATTACGAGTATTTAAATATATGTAATACTAATGATTCTCATCGTACAATTATTGTCAAATTGGTGATGTAATTTTCCATAAAAAAAATTAGGTGTTGTAATTTAATTAGCAAAGTTCTTTCGTACTATCTAGTAATTAAGTTATAAATTTTATTCTGAAAAAAAAGGAACTAATTGTGTTATGTCCGAACAAACTTTTTTAAAATCACCGTAATTATAACTTTTTATGAAATTAATCCTCATTTCAGAACTTAATATAACAATTAAAATATCTCGTCCCTTGTTATTGAAAGTAATGGATAGTTTCTTTTGGTTAAAGTTCATTTCTCTCGGGATCATCGCCTCCTAGGTTAGGTTACTGGGCAAGACAATTTTAAGAGAATGATTTCAAAATTCTAGAAATTATAATATGTTACTGTAGGTCCTGTAATGTGAGAATTAACCCATCTAATAAATATAATATCAAAATTTTAGGGTTCAAGTTTATTGGAATTGGACCTTGAATGAATTAATCCATTAAAAATAACATTTAGATTAGGTTTTGGATAAGTTTTGCACTCAATCGTAACTAGTCCAAGTAAAAAATATTTTTTGTTAAAATATTTTGGTGTTGTCCGCTGTGTGAAAGGAAAAATGCAGAGAAAAAAAATGTGCAGGACAAATTTTCTACATGTTGGAGAGGAGAATGCCCATACCATGTAGCGAATGATGGCTATGATGGAAGATTTACAAAAAACCAAATGAGGAGGTAAGAGTAGAGTAAGAATAACTATGTCAAAAAATAGGAGCTTCAATCAATCATACAACAGCTACTAATAGGAAGGAGAAAAGTCACAAACCCAATCTCATATTAGGATTTTCAACCATTTGCCAATCTATGATAATGAATCAGCCAATCCTAATTCATTAAAAGAATCAGTCAATCCTAATTCATTAAAAATTCTAAATCATAAGTAAAATTAAACCAAAAATTTTATAATCTAAATAAACTAGACTAAGTTTGCCCGAAGTTTCACGAGTTCATGATTTAAATAGGTTTGGTCCAATTATTTTGTAAGTTTATGAACGGACTCATTTTATAAAATAATAATTATTTTAAAAATAAAATAAAAATAATATTATTATATTAAAAAAATATATATATGTATAATAAATTAGTTTGATAGTATTATATATATATATATATATATATAAATTAGAAAAAATAATAAATCCTAAACATAAGATTTATTTGATTTGGTCATTTTCTTTATTGTCATCGATATAGTTATGTAGACTTCTTACATTCCTTTTCTCATATACACAATTTTTCCTAAGTCATGCCTCCATATGTATTCTTTATAGTTATTTTATATTTTGTTATTTTGTCTTGTGATTAAATCTTAACTTTTTATTTATTTATTTATTCTTGCAGGACTGATTTAAATTATGAAAACTCCATTTTATACTACACGTCCTCATCCAATTGGTAATTCATATATTAATAATTCTGATATGTCTAGTAATAATAGGAGGGATAACATTGAAAAAAAAAAAAGGTGAAGTTTCTAAGAAAGTAAAAACCAATACTTTTAAAGTGTGAAATTATCTTGAAAAAGTTGGTCTTGTTGAAAGGGTAGAGAAATGTAAATATAAGAGTTATGAAAAATGGTATACATGTAAAGGAATTTCGGGGACCAATAATTTAAGATGATATATTCCTAAATTTAGTGTATTTCTAAAGTATCATGTGAAGGTTCATTAAGGATTTTTCTAAGACAGTCAAACCATTATGTAACCTTCTAGTGAAAGACACATCATTCTTTTTTATGAAGAATGTATGCAAGTTTTCAACATTCT